ACACACCGGGATCCCATATGGATGCTGGTTCTAATCCTGGCAGCTCCACTTCCCATCCAGCTCCCTCCTTGTGGCCTGGGAAAGCAGTGGAGGATGGCCCAATGCTTTGGGACCCTGCACCTGCATGTTAGACCCAGAAGGAAGTTCCTGGCTTCTGGCTCCTGGCTCCGGATCGACACAGCACCAGCCATTGCAGCCACTTGGGGAGTATATCTGACTTTGTAATAAAAATGAATAAATCTTAAAATAAGCTATTTTTCAGTAAATATGTCATTCATGTCATCACAATGGATAATTCCTATAACATACATGCTTTGAACATTCATTAAAGCTTAATTTTTATAAGTATTTCTTCATTTTTATTTATTGGAAAGGCAGAAGAACAGAAAGAGAGGAGAGTCCTCCTAAAAGACCCTTAGTAGCCAACACAGGGGCAGCCTGAAGCCAGGAGCCAGGAAGTCCTGCAGGGTTTCCCTGTGTGGGGCAGGAAGCAGGACGGCAGGGGGCCTCAGTCCTCCACACCCCAGGTGGAACCTGGGTCCCAGGCAACAGCTGAACTGACAAATACAACCTTCCCCAGATTTGCTAATATAGTTATCATCTGTGGATGTAAACAAACAAATAATCTGTGGATTTTTTACAGGGAAACTTGAGAATACAATCACTGAGTAATACTTTCTGGAAATAACAAAAAAGTCAGATATTTACTGTATAGAGTTTCTAAAAATGAAAAACCATGGGAATGCTTTTTAAAAAAAAGGAGAAGGAGGGCCCGGCGCGGTGGCACAAGTGGTTAAAGGTCCTCGCCTTGCACGCCCGGGATCCCATATGGGCGCCGGTTCTAATCCCGGCAGCCCCGCTTCCCTTCCAGCTCCCTGCTTGTGGCCTGGGAAAGCAGTCGAGGACGGCCCAAAGCTTTGGGACCCTGCACCCACACGGGAGACCCGGAAGAGGCTCCTGGCTTTGGATCGGCATAGCATCGGCCCGTTGCGCTCACTTGGGGAGTGAATCATCGGACGGAAGATCTTCCTCTCTGTCTCTCCTCTCTGTATATCCGCCTTTCCAATAAAAAAATAATAAAAATAAATCTTTAAAAAAAAAAAAAAAGGAGAAGGAATGGGCACCTCATTCAAATCTTACGCTTTTAAAATAATGCAAAATACCAATATTTGTTATTTTTAATAAAGATTTATTCCTTTTTATTACAAAGTCAGATATACAGAGAGGAGGAGAGACAGAGAGGAAGATCTTCCATCCGATGATTCACTCCCCAAGTGAGCACAACAGCCAGTGCTGCGCCGATCTGAAGCCAAGAGCCAGAAACCTTTTCCGGGTCTCCCACATGGGTGCAGGGTCCCAAGGCCTTGGACCGTCCTTGACTGCTTTCCCAGGCCACAAGAAGGGAGCTGGATGGGAAGTGGAGCTGCTGGGATTAGAACCGGCATCCATATGTGATCCCGGTGGATTCAAGGTGAGGACTTCAGCCTCTAAGCCACGTCGCTGGGCCCGCAAAATACCAGTATTTGGATTAAATAAAACAAATGTACACCAAACTGAATATTAAAAAAAGTTCTAAAATTATATTTTTAATAAAATCTCAGAAGTGGGGGGCGGCATGGCTCAACAGGCTAACATTCCACCGTCCTGAGCATCCCATATGTGTCCTGACTGCTTCACTTCCAATCCAGTCCCTGCTTGCAGCCTGGGAAAGCAGTGAAAGGGCGTCCAAGGCCTTGGCACCCTGCACCTGTGCGGGAGTCTCAGAACAGGCACTTGGCCCCTGACCAGCCTAGCTCTGGCCATTATGGCCATCTGGGAAGTGAACCAACTGATGGAAGATATTTTTCTCTCTGTTTCTCCATAAATCTGCCTTTCCAATAAAAATAAATCTTAAAACAAAAACAAAGAGGCCTCAGTTCAATGGTTTAATTGGTTAATCCTTGCCTTAAAAGCACCGGGATCAGATATGGGTGGCAAACCATGTCCTGGCTGCTCCACTTCTGATCCAGCTCTCTGCTTGCTGCCTGGGAGAGCAGTGAAAGATATCCAAAGTCTTGGGACCCTGCACCTGCCTGGGAGCCCCTGGAAGAAGCCCCTGGCATAGGCGGCTTTGGATAGGCTCAGTTTTGGTCATTGTGGCCGCTTGGGGCGTGAACCAGTGGACACAAGATCATTCTCCTCTGTCTCCCCTCCTCTCTGTCTATCTTACTTTCTAATACAAATAAATAACTTTTTTTTTTAATCATCATTTCATTTAAGCTTTAGCATGATCACGCTTTTAGGAGAGAGAGAGATAGGGCCTGGTGCAGTAGTCTAATGGCTTCATCTGGATCAAGGTGAAATTCCATGTGGGCACTGGTTCTAATCCCGGAAGCCCCACTTCCCATCCAGCTCCTTGCTTGTGGCCTGGGAAAGCAGTTGAGGATGGCCCAGAGCTTTGGGATCCAGCACCTGCGCGGGAGACCTAGCGGAGGCTCCAGGCTCCTGGCTTTGGGTTGGCACAGCATTGGCTGTTGCAGCCACTTGGGGAGTGAGTCAACGGATGGAAGATCTTTTTCCTCTCTGTCTCTCCTCCTCTATGTACATCTAACTTTGTAATAAAGATAAATAAATCTTTAAAAAAAGAAGAGGGAGAGATAAATATCTTTTATCTTCCATCATGGTAATACCAGGATCCCTAAACTTGACTTGATGTTTCAAAGTGGGTAGCAGGGGTCCAAGTCCCTGGGCTGTTCCTGTCGCCTCGCAGGCACAGCAGTAGGGAGCCGAGTCAGAAGTTGAGACTCAAGTCAATCACACGCACTCCGATAGAAGAGGTGGAATCCCAAGCATGAGTTTAAAGACCTATCCATGTAATGGTGTAATAACAACAAAAGCCACCTCAAAATCACACCGAAGTCGAGAAAGCTGTAAGAGGCAACTACTAATATTTTACTTGTTATAATTTACCAGAACAAAAGTATCTACAGACAGTTTTAAAATAGAGTTCTGTGATTTTAAGGCAAGAATTTTCAATTTTAAAATCAAGCATTAAGTTGCTGTCTTACAACCAAAATCAGGTAAACAATCCAAAAGTAAATCTTTAGAAAGCAAAAGTTAGAGGCAGTGAAGTGGCATAGTAGGCTAATCCTCCACTTGCAGCAGCAGCATCCTGGATGGCCATTTGGGCAGTGAGTCAGCACATGGGAAATTCCGTCTCTCTCTCCCTTACCCTCTGTAACTTCTTTATAGAAGAAGAAAATTTGAAAATATCAAGCTACATATTTATGTATGAAATAAAATTCAATGATTTTCACATTTATTATTTTAACTCAAGGGTTATTCTTTAATCTTATAATGTTAACATTAGCGTAAACAAGGCTACTGAGAATAGCTCTGGGAGTTTCCAATGAAAAAAACGCTAGATGCAAATCACTGGGCAAAATAAATTCCCCCACTTTTGGAGACTATGCAGACAAGGTTTTATTAAATAAAATATTCTCTCTTAATAGGAATAGCAAGGGCTATTAAATATCTCACATATACATAAAAGTGATGAGTCCAGAAAATACTCATATTTTCTTGAGACAAAAGGGAAATGGTTTCACTTACTGCTTACCAGGATTGTGGTGAGAGGCAGACTCCCCATTCTGAAACACATCTCCTGCCACATGCATCCTAGCAGGATTAAAAGATCCTACTCCAGTCTTGGTCTGTGAAGTTAAAGTCGGGGTGTATGTTTGTATGTTAACACCGAAATGACTTGACTGCAGTCCGTCAGAGACATCGCCCAAGTTGGTGTTCTGCAGTGATGTGACATACGGGTAATCATTAAGTTTATATCTCGCCCAGCATTCACAGACCACACACCTGTTTCTAAGGCAGTAACATTAGGTCAGATGGAACAGAGTCGCTTCAGTAGGGCCAGCACTATCACCCATTCCTGCATTTACCTTACTTCTTGAAAGTCTGGAAGTGGAGGAATCCGAATCTTGGGTTCTGTTTTTAGCTCCAGATATATCCCATTCAGTAAAACTGCAAGACTGTTTCTCTTTCCCTTCAGGTGTTTCTAGTAAGTCCTCTTCATCCTCAATGACAATTGTCTCACAAATATTTCTCTTTACAGAGGCAAAATTTCTTGAGGAAGGAACGTTTATGGAATAATTGTCTTGCGGATGTTCATTTTTTGATGATGTAAATATACAGTCTCTTTCATCAGCTACTGCTGCAGCAGAAATGGAGGGAGGTTGTACAGATTCAACAAACACAACATCATCATCGTTGTCTTCCACTGACGAGCATCTGCTAACTAAAGAATTAGCCGAGCCACCAAATGCACTTCCTGCGTCCAGGAGACCGGATGCCATGGCCGTGCTTCCCAGCACAGCAGCAGTCTGTGAGAGGCAGGAAAACAAAAAAATATTCTAGTATACAGTTTTTGGTATTTTACTACAAAGATATAAATAAACTTTAAAAATTTGAATGTAGGGCCCGGCGCGGTAGCGCAAGTGGTTAAAGGTCCTCGCCTTGCACGCCCGGGATCCCATATGGGCGCCGGTTCTAATCCCGGCAGCCCCGCTTCCCATCCAGCTCCCTGCCTGTGGCCCAGGAAAGCAGTCGAGGACGGCCCAAAGCTCTGGGACCCTGCACCCGTGTGGGAGACCCGGAAGAGGCTCCTGGCTTCGGATCGGCATAGTATCGGCCGTTGCGCTCACTTGGGGAGTGAATCATCGGACGGAAGATCTTCCTCTCTGTCTCTCCTCTCTGTATATCCACCTTTCCAATGAAAAAATAATAATAAAAATAAATCTTTAAAAAAGATTTATAAAAAAAAAAATTTGAATGTAATCTATTACTTAACTTTTAGAGAAAACACTGATACTCCTCATTTTTAAAATTTCTTTGAAGATTAATGAAAACTCTTTATGTGATCTCTAATAGTACTTAAAAAAAAAAAAGCCTATTCGATTTATAGCATTTGCTTTAATGCTTTAATTTACTCCAACCTGATAGGTGAGGAAAGTGAAGCCTAAGCCTCAGATAAGCCTCAGTGAGGCAGGAACCCCAAGTGCTGGCTTAATTGGCTGCCCACAATGCTGTTACCGAGGTCCTCAATTCACCATCACTCTTCCCAATGCAATATTTTTATGTACTTACCATACATTAATATATAATGTTTGAGAGGATCCACCAGACACAGTATTTAAGAAACCTAAAAATGCAAACAGTTAATTAGCATTTAATTGAAAGACACAGAAAGAAAGCAATTAGCAACTGTGGGTTCACTGCGCAAATGCCCACCACAGCTGGAGATGCACCAGGCGCTGGGGACCCAGGCACACACTGCAGCTCCCACCTGAGCTGGTGCCTCCACCTCCCAGGTCTGCATCAGCAAAGCTGGAATCCAAGGAAGAGCAGGATGCAAGCCAGGCACTCCAGGCCCACGCATCCCAAGCAGCATCCCAGTCACTGTGCCAGACGTGACTCAGAACACAACACTCAGAAGCAGATGCCAAGATCACTAGAGTTCGTAGGAAAATTAACATTGTAGGAGAAGAACCTCTAGGCGGGTCAGGGCCAGGAGTTTCAGCCGCCATTCGAGTCGAGTCTCTCCACTTGTGATCCAGCTTCTTATTAACGCACACTGGCTGACAAGAGATGATGGCTCAAATATTTGGAATCCTGCCACCGTATGGAAGAAACCAGGTGGCATTCTGGGGTCCTGGTGCACAGTGCTAGCTGTTGTGGTCACATGGGAGTGAACCAGCAGATTGGAGATCTTTCTCTAATTTTTAAAAAGGAAATAAAAATGTAGAGATAAAAACATTTTTGAGGGCCTGGCACAATGATTGACTAATCGACCACGTGCAAGCGCAGGCATCCCCTGTAGATGCTGATTCAGGACCTAGCCGTTCCACAGGTCCCTGGCTTCGGCCTGGGAAGGCAGCAGAGCATGGGCCAGGTTCTTGGAACTTGGGAGCCCCACAGGAGACCCGGAAAAAGCTCCTGGCTCCTAGCTTCAGATCTGTTCAATTCCAGCTGCTGCAGCCATTTGGGGAGTGAACCAGTAGATGGAAATCTTTCTGTGAATCTGCCTTTCAAATAACCATTTTTAAAAAAGTCTTCAAGATTTCTTATAGATTAATTTTACTTGAAAGCCAGCGTTACAGGTGGAGACTTACACCACAATGCCACAGCACCAGCCTAAGTCTTCAAGATTCAGAGGAAACATGCTCAAGTGTCCACGGTTACTTCATTCAAACTCGTAAGATCAAACTGCAGGATATTTTTAGTTACTATATTTTATGCAATTAATGTGGAAAATAAATTCAATTAGTTCACCCCTACTCAGAACAGCATAAACTAAAATAATAAAACCAACATTCAACAAAGGCGATTTCATTAAGAAAAAAAGAATGTGGGGCCAGCGCTGCGGCTTAGCAAGTTAAGCCTCTTCATGGCCTGCGTCCACGAGTCCCAGCTGCTCCACTTGCAATCTAACTTCCTGCTAATGGCCTGAGAAGGCAGCAGAGGGAGCTTAAGAGCTGGGGCTCCTGCATTCATATGGGAGAAGTTCCTGGCTCCTGGCTTCAGAGTGGCTCAACTCCAGCTGTGGGGGACATCAGGGCAATTAACCAGCAGATGCAAGATCTCTGCTTTTCCTCGCTCTAATTCTGCTTTTGCAATAAAAATAAAAATTTATAAAGTCATACACACATACACAAAGAATCCAAGGACCACCTTAAAGTACGGCTCACTGTACTGCTGAGATGTGACACTGAATCCAATTCCAGTTCCAGCTGCTCTACTCCCCATCCAGCTCCCTGCTTGTGGCCTGGGAAAGCAGTGGAGGACCGCCCAAAGCCTTGGGACCCTGACCCGTGTGGGAGACCCGGACAGAGCTCCAGGCTCCTGGCTCCTAGCGTCAGATTGGATTGGCTCTGACAGACACTTTTTGTGGTAATTTTGGTGTCCGTCTTCACCTTCTAGAAAAAACAAGCACTGAGTAACAGAACGCCCTGTGAGGCCAGCTGTGGACAAGCACCTCATGTTCACGTGCATTCTCTCTCAATTCCATTAACAGGCTACGGCAACTAAGCTTGTTTAACTGCACCCCGTGCTGCTAGCACAACCGACTGCCTAATGACACATCTCTCAGTGTGTCTCTGTCATTAATCCAGACATGACTATTGGCCTGGGTTCCCCAGGCACCAACAGAATGCATACTACATGCATCCCTTGCCATGCAGAAACTTACTTCAAGGCTGAGGATCTTCCTTCTTGGGCGTCAGCCTCTGGAACTGAGAATCAGAAAGAGGAGGCCTAAAGGGACCAAGCCTTGAGTTTCCAGTCGAGTGAACCAAGCATCTCCCTAGAGCAGAGCACAAAGGTAAAATGCTTACTCACGCTTCCTGTTTTCTAATCGCACATTAATAGCTTTTTTTTATAGATTTGTTCTCATTTTGAAAGAGTGACAGAGAGGGAAAGACACAAAGAGATCTGGCTGCTGGCTTATTCCCCAGATGGCCAGCACCAGGCCAGGCTGAAAACAAGAGTCAGGAGTCCTCAGGTCTCCCCAGTGGGCAGCAGGCCCCAAACACCTGAGCCGTTATCAGGGTGTGTATCAGAAGATTTACAAAGGGAAGGAGAGCCAAAGATCTTCTATCCTTTGCTTCACTCCCAAAGTGGCTGCAACAGCTGGAGCTGAGCCAATCCGAAGCCAGGAACCCATAGCCTCTTCTGGGTCTCCCACGCGGGTGCAGGGTCCCAAAGCTTTGGGCCGTCCTCAACTGCTTTCCCAGGCCACAGGCAGGGAGCTGGATGGGAAGTGGGGCCGCCGGGATTAGAACCGGTGCCCACATGGAATCCCGGGCGTGCAAGGTGAGGACTTCAGCCGCTAGGTCACTGCGCCGGGCCCATTACATGTATTTTTAAATGTTAGCGTCAGCTGATCCTGTGGCACCAGGAAGTGAGCAGTTATCAGCCATGCAGGTATCTGACACAGGCACTGGTTTTGTATGTGCTTTTCCATTTCTGATGCAGTGACTCAGCTGCCTACAGGGACCGGGAAGGCAGAACATGGTCCCAGTGCTGGGCACCCGCACCCACATAGGAGACCCACATGAAGCTCCTGGCTCTGGCTTGTCTGGGCCCAAAAGTTGTAGCCATTTGGGGAACAAACCAGAAAATGGACAATGTCTCTATATTTCTCTTTCTATCCTTCTAACTCTGACTTCCAAATTAAAAAAAGTGAGAGGCACAAAGAAAGGGTGACCACATATTTCCCCTGCTGGTTGTCCTAAGGCCCAGGCAGCAGGCCAGGAGCCGGGGGTCACCCAGGTCTTCCCTATGACTGGCATGAACGCATCACTAGAGCCACAAGTGCCGTCACCCAAGGGCCACAAGCAGCTGCCCTCAGCAGCCAGAGGCAGGACGCCACGACTGCAAACGAAGTGTCTTAACTACTGGGCCAGACGACCTAGACTCTTCTTTAATGTTCATATTCTTATCTTGGGAAGATATTACTCATTTATAAAGTACAGAGAATATTTTCCATAATAGTAAGGAGATGCCTTTTGTAAGGAGTAACAGCCGAGGGAAATTCTGGCCTGTCCGTCTTTAGCCTGCACTAGCTGTCACTTCCTGTGCAGGCACATCATACGGCTGAGGAAACACACACCCTGTCATTCAATTTCTACCAGTGAACACGAACTATCACCACTTCAGATATCCTACAAAAATTGCTCACGGGGCCCGGCGCGGTGGCCTAGTGACTAAAGTCCTCGCCTTCAATGTGCGGGGATCCCATATGGGCGCCGGTTCTAATCCTGGCAGCTCCACTTCCCATCCAGCTCCCTGCTTGTGGCCTGGGAAAGCAGTTGAGTACGGCCCAAAGCCTTGGGACCCTGCACCCATGTGAGAGACTTGGAGGAAGATCCTGGCTTTGAATCGTAGCAGCACTGACCATAGCTCTCACTTGGGGAGTGAATCATCGGATGGAAGATCTTCCTCTCTGTCTCTCCTCCTCTCTGTATATGTGATTTGGTAACAAACATAAATAAATCTTTTTAAAAATTGCTCACATGATACAATATCCACTCCTAAAAGCTAGACATAGAAATCTACTGTCAGCGCTGATCGATTAGACAATGAGAAGATTTAATGGAGAAATTATTTTATTAAACTACACAGTGGCCATCATCAAGGCTTTTAGGATGCCACACACTTTCATATCCCAAAAAACCAGTGCAGCATAGCACTTATTACAAAGGCCAGGATATGCAAGCTTTTGTTAATCACTGTCTTGGGTGGAACTTGGAGTCTCCAGGGCTAGTTTTCCTATGTTAATTAAACTTGAAGAGGGCCCAAAGGGAAGAGCCACTGAGCCAACCTGAAGGAAGGGAGATGGGGGGATGGCCTTGGGGTTGGGGAGGCCCCCTTCCTAACCTAGGATGGAGGGAAACAATTGGGACTAGGTTGTTCCAGGATAAACCGTTGCACTAGGTGTTCTCAGCTCCTGATAAGCCTCCTGTCCTCACACACTCAGCTCCTTCATCTACAATTGAGACCCTGTCCTAAGCTTAACTAACGAGGCATGCTGGGTAGGAAGTAGAAGAAAAACAGCAAGTAAATTGGCAGACAGTGGGAAGGCAGGAATTCTAGCACGGGAGAGAATCACAAGGCTTGTTAAACAAATACTTATTTTTTATTCAAAAGGCAGATATACAGAAAGAAGGAGAGACAGAGAAAAAGATCTTCTGTCCACTGGTTCCCTCCCTCAAATAGGTGGGACAGGTGGAGCTGAGCCAATCAGAAGCCAGGAGCCAGGAACCTCTTCCGGGTTTCCCACACGGGTGCAGGGCCTCAAAGGCTTTGGGCTGTCCTCTGCTTTCCCGGGGCCCCAGGCATGGAGCTGGATGAATAGTGGAGCTGCTGGGAATTGAAAAGTGCCCCTATGGAATTCTGGGGTGTGCAAGGCGAGGACTTTAGCAACTAAGCTACCGCACAGGGCCCACAAGGTTCCTTTTGATGAGCGATGGAAAACTGTTCTATCAAAGGAGCAAAACCCAATATCCTACAGAATTCCAAAGGCGCTCCTGTTCCAGTGCTGTGCTGGGAGTTGGCGGTCCCCAGAAAATCATCAGGAGTCTGAAGTCAATGCAAATGCATAAAGGAAGTTTATTTAAAACTAACCTAGGCTCCCAGCCCAGCAGGACGGGGGAGCCGTAGCAGCCACTGCAGCCACCAAGGTGGCCAAAGCAAGAAAAACTGCAGCAGAAGGGGCAGAAGGTCCAGGGGGAAAAAAAGGAGGGCCTGAGGTTCAACAGCTCAGAGTTTTATACATTTCAGGCCAATTCCACACAATTATACAGTCATGATTGGTCAGTTTAACTGTTAACTTTCAAAAAGACCAAGTTGGCAGGCTTCTATTGGTGGGTTAGAAGCAAGCAGCTTTCAAAACGTACAAACTGATGGCTGTAGGGCAGTGGGTCTTATCTAACACCAGGGGCCTCCTTCCTGAGGAGTGCTCTGCCTGTGTGACCTGCCAGGTGCCCTGTCGGGTGTCACACAGACTGTCAGGCCTGGAGTTCACACAGCCCCCAGCCAAGCAAATAAGGCAGAAATCACAAAAGCAGAGAACACTGAGGTTCTTCCCCAGCTGCTCCACTCCTCATCCAGCTCCCTGCTAACGGCCTGCGAAAAGCAGTGGAACAGGGCCTGGTGGCATGGTGGCCTAGCAGCTAAAGTCCTCGCCTTGAACACACCAGGATCCCATATGGGCGCCGGTTCTAATCCCGGCAGCCCCGCTTCCCATCCAGCTCCCTGCCTGTGGCCTGGGAAAGCAGTCGAGGACGGCCCAAACTTGGGACCCTGCACCCGTGTGGGAGAACTGGAAGAGGCTCCCGGCTTCGGATCGGCATAGCATCGGCCGTTGCGCTCACTTGGGGAGTGAATCATTGGCCCGAAGATCTTCCTCTCTGTCTCTTCTCCTCTCTGTAGATCTGACTTTTCAATAAATAAATAAGTCTTTAAAAAATAATAAACAAACACTTAAAAAACTCATTTAGAAAAAAAAAAAGAAAAGCAGTGGAACAGGGCCCAAGTGTATGGGTCTCTGTGCTCACAATGCGAGACTGCAGGAAGCTCCTAGACGCTCCCAACTGGTAAGTGAACCAGACAGGAAATCTCTCTGTAATTCTGCTAAATACATATTACAGATTTAAAGACTACTGTGAAAATCTTTAACTAAGTAACCGACAAAAATTAGCATTTAGAGCCCAGCGCTGTGGCCTAGCAGCTAAAACTCCTCACCTTGAACCCACTGAGATCCCACAAGGGTACCGGTTCAGTTCCTTGCTTGTGGCCTGGGAAAGCAGTCGAGGATAGTCCAAAGTCTTGGGACCTGCACCCATGGGAGATCTGGCAGAGGTTCCTGACTCCTGGCTTCGGATCGGCTCAGCTCTGACCACTGCAGTCACTTCGGGGATGAATCATTGGACGGAAGATCTTCCTCGCTGTAAATCTGACTTTGCAGTAAAAAGAAATCGATCTTTTAAAAAATTCGCATTTGTATTGTATAAAAATGAACACATAGATGACACTTCAGGAGGAATAAAAAATTACTAACAGTGGCAGTATCAGCTGTCACTACAAATAGAATAGGTGTCAATCTTACCATCAGGAATGACAAACTAGTAAGGCTGGTTAGAAAGGTACATAAAAAAGTTTTCCCCAAAAGTAAGGCAATCACGTTAAAAGTAAAAAAAAAAAAAAAAAGTCTGCTCTTACTCAACCTTGAAACAATGTGTTATCTAGCAATTTTTTTTTTTGCACTGGAAAAAAAAAACGTTATATACAAAGCACTTGAAATGGAGCTCAGGTTAAGTTTTGCCAACACCTGTTCCCACCGACTTCCCACGAATTCCTATGATTTAATCCCGCAGCCACATCCCCGCTCCCCCGCTGTCGCAGTACGTGTAATAAAGGGAGAAGCAGAGCAAGCGGGGAGACTCACGAGGAAGAAGCTTTCTTATCTCTGCTCAAGTTTCACCAGATCGGTGGAGGAGAATCCCGGTTCTAGTGGAAGACGATTAAGTTACAACCAACCGGACTCAGCAGCAACTCCTCACCGCCAGAGGGAGGAGGCAAAAGGGTAACAGGTTAGGGAGTTTCTTAAGAGCGGTTCTATCCTCCAACGTCAAGGCCGAGGAGACACAATGTTCAAAAGCCCAAAAAACTACAGGTAGTGCAACGAGGAGAGAACGCGGAATCTGTTTCTTCCAACCACTGGATGGAAGTGGGTGTGTGAGCCAGCCTGGGGAGGCGGGGAGAAGGGCAGAGTAGCTTCGATGCCAGCCAGGATGCGGATTTCTTGCTAAATTCGCCGGATCAGCACCCTCTCTGTCCTCTGGACCCAAAGTCAATGATGAGGAAGGCTCCCAACACCGCCGGCCACGTATCTGCCCCAGCAGTGGTCATGGGCCCTCTCTCCCCAACAAACCAGCGAAGTTCTCCAAGTCCGCCATTAGAAACTCGCTCAAATAAGTTGAGAAATGCAACGCGGAGGAAGAAACCCGAGGGGGACAGGACGGACCACAGAGAGAGAGAGCAGTCCTCGCCGTCCCGCCGGCCTGGGCGCGCAGCCCCGAGAAGGGCGACCCCCGGCCGGCGTCCCCACCTCCACCGCCGCAGGCCAGACTCAACGGCCGGTGGCCGCCGGGCGAACCCCGCCGCTCGCGGCCGGAGCGCAACGCCCGAGGCCGGGGAGAGGACGCAGCTCGCGGCCGGAGCGCAACGCCCGAGGCCGGGGAGAGGACGCAGCTCGCGGCCGGAGCGCAACGCCCGCAGCCGGGGCGAGGACGCAGCCCGCAGCCGGGGAGAGGACGCAGCTCGCGGCCGGAGCGCAACGCCCGAAGCCCTCGCGGCCGGAGCGCAACGCCCGAAGCCGGGGCGAGGACGCAGCCCGCAGCCGGGGAGAGGACGCAGCCCGCAGCCGGGGAGAGGACTCAGCCCGCGTCCCGAGGAGGTTCCCGGCGAGGAACGGAAACCTTACCCGGTCCCGGCTGCGGTCCGGCGCCGCCTTCGCCAACTCGCACAACTGCCGGGGTTAGCCTCGAGACTGCACCGGAGGCGACGCCGCTCACGCGTTCATTGGGGAACCGGGAAGGCGGGCCGAGGCGGGCCGGGCACCGTCATTGGCTGAAGCGGCCGTCTTTCAGGACCGCGCCCCGCCCCCTTCCTCCCCTACGGGGTCCGAAAGTCTGTCCGTCGGCCCGGGCCGCCCGCCCGGCCCTGCGCCTCCGGTCCGCGTCGGCCGGCCGCCCTCACAGCCGCTCACGGGGGCCGCCAGGGTCGGCAGCCCGGCGTCTGTGGTCCGAGGCTCGGCTTCTGAGGGTCGGGGTGCCCCGGGACAGACTGAGGGGCTGACACGGCCGGCAGTGGCACTTGTCCAGACTTGGAACGGCCGGGCCACAAACGCGGCTCCCACAAACTGCCAGAAGATTCCTCAGGATGCTCCCTGTTCCGTCCCCTGAAGCCCCTGGCCGCGGGTTAAGGGCTCTTCTGACCGTTCCGAGGGCCGTGGGGACACCTCCTCCTCCACCTCTCCCCCCTAGAGGACAGGCCCCCATCGCCCTCCCGACATGGCCGCAGCGGGAGAAGACGTCCTCCATTTTGTCCCAACTGCTGTGCAAACTCAGGCCCCTTTGACATCCTAGCTTCCGGGAGGCAGAAAAACTTGGTCCCAATCGTCCCGCGCTAGATTCTTATATCGTTGGGCCAAGGGACCGCCCTGCTGAGCGGGCCAAGTGACGCAGGCCAGATCCCAACCTCCCCGCCTCCGTCAACCAAAATGGACGGAGCTGACTTGCCAGGAGCGGGGCTCCCGCCGCTCAGGGGACCGGGACGTGCCCGGGGTGCCCTTAGCGCCGAGGTCCTCTCTCTGCCCGGCCTCCCTGGACGTAAATGCTGGCCCTCAACGGTGGATGGAGCCTTCCCTGCTGCCCTCGCTCCATCCATCGGGTCGGCCACCCAGGCCCCTGCGCTGAGCCAGTGTCCCGAGGGGAGAGGACCCAGGCTCCGGGTCCTTGCCTTTTCTTGTCTGTGCGGTGCACCTTGGTGAGGGAGACTTCCAAGACTCCGCGTAAAGGTGCCAGTGACGCGTCTTTGGTCACTGCCTGGCGGTTATTCGTGGCATTGCAAGTGGGGATGTTGGCCTGCTAAGTGGATAAACTTTGAGGTCGGTCACATGACTTAGAAATTCACCTAAGATGACATTAAAAAGAAGGTTGCTCTTTTTACTACTTTGAGAGATCACAAAATCACATGTTTATTCAATAAAAACTAGGCGTAAGCCATCGAAGATAAATGTGTCCTGTATTGATGAATGGCTTGTTTATGTTATATAGTACCATCGTTATTTCATGGAAATTACCAGTCGCCCACGTTTTTTAAAATCCTTAGTTATTATTTGAAAATAAGTAGTAGCAGTGTCTTCCTGACAACAGTGAATTAGAGTGAGACTTCACGTTAAGCGAGTATGAGTACAGAGCCAGAGGCACGCTGAAGTTTTAAAATCCTCCTACAGGAAAATGTAGTTTGTCAAAGACACTAAATGTTAGGCCTTGAGGCCGTATGTCGTGGGTTTTCTGAAGCCACATCTGTTACCATTCCAAGAGTAAGAATTTGACATTTGTTTTCCCACATAAAGGCAGATTCGTTTATCAATCACAATTCTGAAGTCTGCTGCCATTATTTCAAGTGGTCCTTAGCCTACGGCCTGCTTCTGTAACAAAATACCCAGTCAGTTAGAGATTATAGACATTTATTTGGGTCCAGAGTAGGAAGCCTTGTATCATGCTAGATTAACCCGGGTTTGCAAATTTTGCCCTGATTCCTCCCCACCGTGGCAGGCAGCATTTGTTAACTCGAGTTTCTGGCTCGCTGCCGCTCACGTGGGAGACTCAGAATGAGGAGCTCCTGGCTTTGGGCAGGCCTAGCCTAGCCTAGCCATGCTTGTTGCTTGCATTTGGAGAGTGAGCTACTAAAGGAGAAGAGAGAGAGAGAGAGAGAGAGAGAGAGAGAGAGAGAGAGAGAGAGAGAGAGAAGTGCGATGGCATAGTATGCCGATCCTCTGTCTGCAGTCCTGACATTGCATATGGGCACCTGTAGGATTCTTGGCTGCTTCACTTCCAATCCATGTCCCTACCAGTGGCCTGGGAAGGCAGTAGAGGATGGCTCAAGGCTTTGGGCCACTATACACTCATGGGAGACCTAGAGGAGGCACCAGGCTCTCTGCTACTCTGGCCTCTGCAGTCATCTGGTGAGAACCAGCAGATAAAGTCACTCTCTTTGTCTCTCTCTTTCTCTCTCTCTGTCCAGGACTCTGACTTTCAAGTAAAATAAATAGATCTTTTAAAATTTTTTAAGCGAAAAAAAATTTTTGAAGTTTACTTGGCTTGGGGTTAACACAGTGGCCTAGCAAACTAATCCTCCACCTGACAGGCCAGCACCTATATGGGTGCTATAGTCCTTGTCCTGACCACTCCACTTCTGGTCCAGCTCCCTGTTTAAGGCCTGGGAAAGCAGCAGAGGATGGCTCAAGTCCTGCAATCCTGTGAGGCCTGGAAGGAGCTCCTGGCTTTGGGTCAGCTCAGTTCTAGCTGTTGCAGGCATTTGCGGAGGAGCCTGCAGATGGAAGATCTCTCTGTGTCTCTCTTTTTCTCTGTAAAATCTGGATCTCAAGTAAAAATAGATTTTAACAGATTTAAAAAGCTTATTTGGGGCCCGGCGGCGTGGCCAAGCGGCTAAAGTCCTCACCTTGAATGCGCCAGAATCCCATATGGGCACTGCTTCTAATCCCGGCTGCTCCACTTCCCATCCAGATCCCTGCTTGTGGCCTGGGAAAGCTGTCGAGGATGGCCCAAGGCTTTGGGATCCTGCACCAGCGTGGGACACCTGGAGGAGGTTCCTGGCTTCTGGCCTTGGATCGGAGCAGCACTGGCCGTTGCGCTCACTTGGGGAGTGAATCATCGGATGGCAGATCTTCCTCTCTATCTCTCCTCCTCTCTGTATATCTGACTTTCCAATTAAAAAAAAAAAAAAAAGCTTATTTGGCTCATGGCTTGAAAGATTAACAAGACTACAGTTCAGGTATCACACTTGGTCTTTTTCTCCTAACAAATTTATAGTTTTTATAAGTTTTGGTGATGTTTGCATAGTTAAGGATGCATGCTCATGTGGACCACTGATGAGAGTGGGGAGGGCAGAGGAATGGAGGAAAATCAGTAAGACAACCATTTTCAATCTCCTTTTGTTCATGTATCCGGGGAAAATGGGGAGAGGGACGCTCCCACCAGCCCAGCCACATCACTGCCCTAGGGTGGGGGTCAGCCACCGATATTCCAAGGTCCCCAGGGTGGAGCATATTCTGAGGGCACTGCTAAAAGGGCTTCTTTAGCTCTGAAATGCTGTTGACTCTGTTGCTCCAAGGAGGAGGAAATCCTGCTAAGGTCCGTTGGCTGACAGTCAACCTTAGAGCCAATTCACCCAGTTACTTGCTGTCCACGCTTTGCTGGGAAAACTGTCCAGTTTTTTTTTTTTTTTAAGATTTATTTATTTATTGGAAAGTCAGATATACAGAGAGGAGGAGAGACAGAGAGGAAGATCTTCTGTCCGATGATTCACTCCCCAAGTGAGCGCAAAGGCCGATGCTATGCCAATCCAAAGCCAGGAGCCAGGAACTTCCTCCAGGTCTCCCACATGGGTGCAGGGTCCCAATGCTTTGGGCCGTCCTCGACTGCTTTCCCAGGCCACAAGCAGGGAACTGGATGGGAAGTGGGGCAGCCAGGATTAGAACCGGCGCCCATATGAGATCCCGGGGTGTGTTCAAGGCGAGGACTTTAGCTGATAGGCCACTACGCAAGACCCAAGGCAGTCTAACTTTGAATCTTTATCATACCTATAGAATTTCTGAAATTCTAAGAAAAAGTTAATGGTAAGTAAGTAGTAAGAAATAAAGCAAGTTAATTTGGAACAAAATTTTGTTAATACTGAACAGTATCTGCAATTGTTATTTAGAACCGAGACCATCAAAATACATTTTGAGAGGAGAAGCAGTGTAACACTGACCGTGTTTAAAATTGCTCTCACATAATGACAATAAAAAGCAAGACTCAGGTAGATTTTATCATTATCTTTAAATTCTGCACAGTAAGAATTAAGAGTTACGCAGACATCCTTATATATTCATATATGTATATTTATGTTAATGTATGCACATATGTATAAAATAAAGGCTCAGAAAGGACACATTGCATGAATCATGTAGAAAGATATATATGTCATCACCCATATGTAGCTTATATACATTACTTATAGTGGGTTGAAGGATACCTCAAAAGATACAGCAACCCAGAACCTGTGAAAATGATATTTTGTTGGAGAAAGGGCTTTTGCTGATACAATTAAGTTTATTCCGAAATATGGTAGGTCTTAAATCCAATGACTAGTGTCCTAATAAAGAATACAAAAGGAGAAAGTGATGTGACAATGCAAGTGAGATTTGGCATTAATTACTGCCAGCCGGTAAAGGATCGGGGCCTTGTCATCCAGCCTCAAGGACTGTCAGCCTCTTAATGAGCCTGCAAGTAGATCCATTCCCAGTTAGCCTCCAGATGTGACCATAGCCTGGTCAACACATTAATTACAGCTTTATAAAGCTCTGAAGTACCAGATCCAATAAAGCTATGCCTTCCTTGACTTTTTAAAAAAACATTTAAAAAAGATTTATTTATTTTTATTGGAAAGTCACTCCCAAGTGAGCGGAACGGTCGGTGCTATGCTGATCCAAAGCCAGGAGCCAGGAGCTTCTTCCAGATCTCCCACACAGGTGCAGGGTCCCAAAGCTTTGGG